TTCTTGGCGTGAAAATTGGTCGGTGAGGTGGCTATGCATGACTAACGTGTTTCGGCTTTTCAATGTTGCCAAGTTGGTGAACTTGATCTTGGGTCTAATCTAGTGGCTTCGCAATGTTAGTAACTTGGAAAGCTCGTTGTAGTGTTGCAGTCGTCGGTATGGCTTGTGGTCTACTAGGTGATTCAAGGCGTTGGATTCAGACCATTCGAAACAGTTTTCCGAATGAGATACTTCAGCTGTGTAGAAAGCTAGTGTTCCATTCTACTTGGCGTGGTTTAGCCCTGGTGAACTTTAGCTTTCCTCGCTGAGCTTGGTCAAGGTGGCCAATGCCTTTGCTAGAAAACGGGTCTTCTTGCGAGATGATGACATCGCCCAGTGACATAGGCGATCTTGCCAAAGAACCTTGGTGTTGGTCAGGGAGAATGATCTTCGATTTTACATGCTCGGCGAGGCTTATTCTTAGCCTTTCATCGACATCAAACGAATTTCATCTTTTGCCAAGAGATTGTTTCACGAGTCCGCTTAGTGAGTTCGGAAAATGGGCAATGGTCCGAAGCAATAAGCTTGCTACTTGGTATGTCATTGAGCACACGTGGTTGCCGAATTAGTTGCATTGTGTGGCTCCAACTTTGGTCGGTAGCTTTTCTTGTTCTTTGGCTTTTCAAGAGCACGTATAGAGAGAGAAAGTGAAGACCCAGTTGGAGATCTACAAACTTTTTTCTTGTTATTTCAACTGTCTTAAACAAAATTGATATTCATTTGACAAAATCTGTGAGCATAAAAATACGTAGACATATATATATATATATATATATCAAAGTTGAATTTAAATCAGAAACATAGTAAAAAAGGGAGAAAACAAAGACCCAATCCTGAGTATACTTTTTCTAGAGAGAGATTGGTTAATCTTGGTGCTCACTGGTTTGGGCACCTTGAGTGTGGTATTTATTCATCTCTTCATTGAATTTCTCAGATCTTTCCCACGGACGGGGCTAGTTGTGAGACCATGAAATATCCTCTCACATGGATTGTAGAGATCCAACGAAGAGATGATATTTGTCCTTGTGTATCTATAGCATGATCAGCGCCAACCAACTGGGATTGTCGCCCGGAGACACTCTGATGGTAAAGTTAGTCCTTTGATTGAAAGAATGAATGTATAGAAATGAAAAGTGTTTGTGTGCTGTGTACGGTGGAGAGATTACCTCCCCCTTCTCTGGGATGCCCCTCCTCTTTATATAGATGGGGGTCTAATATTTGTTTGGGTTAGACCCATTGTAAGCCATGTTTGGGTTAATCCCAATAAGCTGATACATATTTTTTTCTAGCTCCCACAGTTATAAATAAGAAGAAACAAATTAAAACTGAACTGATCTCCATTATCTGGTTTCTATGGTTCTGTACATGGTCAATACCTACTTGTGCTTACTGTTCCCCCCTCCATAAAACTCTTGTTGGGGAGGATGAGGTCCAGGCCCTCTCGGCCTCAGATCAACAAGATAAGGCTCCTAATATGGCTGTTGATTGCGTGGTTCGTGAAAGTTTTGAGGCCTTATTCTTTGGCTTCCAAAATTAGGTTGTCTAAACCTTTGGTCTGTTGGATCACAATTTCCAACTCTAGGTCTGTCGAATACAGGTTGTTCATCTATTGGAGGCCTATGTTGTCCCCCATGTCCAGTTCTTGGTCTCCATTCACTTTGATGAAAGTGAGAAACTGGATTTGCAGTGTATTCTTTCATCCCATTAGACTCAAAAGTTGGGTTCACGTTAAATCTTTTCTCAAACTTCTCTTGAAAAGTAGGAGGTCTGTAAAAGGAAGTTGATTCAGTCATGGGTAAGGCCTTTGTAGGCCCAAGTGTACACTTGTATCTTGTTTATCTGAACCTCCTCTCTAACTTGCCTTGTTTGGCTTGGTCCAACATTGAGGTCCTCAAATATGGCTCTCATGTTTGCCATCAGCATTTGGCTGTCTTGTGCAGACATGCCATCAACCACTTGCTTCATTTGAGCAAAATTGTTTCCAATATCCAAATTTGAGCAACTTGATTGGCCCAAGGTACTTGCATCTTGGCCATTTTTTTGGCCTTCTTCTTGCCAAGCCACTAAATGGCTATATTCTGCATTATCTCTAACTTCTTCATATTGTTTATCTGGTTCACCCCATCAACAGGCCTTTTCCCAAGATCTCCGTATGTATTAGTCTGTTTTTTTTTCGCCATCAGGTCTTACTAGGCGTGCCAAATTATGTTGGTAAAAATTCAGTTTAGGTTGAATTGACAAAAACAAATCAATAGACAAAACTAAATTCTTACAAAACAAAAACAGATCAAGCAATGTGATTGTGTAATTTGCCCTAACAAATTTAAGGACTTCTTTGCAGATTTGTAAAAGAGAAGAAACAAATTAAAACCGAACTGAAATTGAACTTGCCACTTCATTACATGAATCAAATAACAAGGACAAAGGGTTACAAGATCAAAGTCGCAAAGATTACAAGTTAACTGCTACTCCTAGTTACAAGATCTACTCCTAGATAACAACTACTCCTAAAATAAGTTACTGCTACTTCTAAATGTCACAAGTGTTGTGAATAGGTTGAAGAATATCCTTTCCTCTTCGAATCCCCAGCCTTTATCCTCCTTGCACTGGCCATGATCTACACAGCCACAAGTGTTGTGAATAGGAGCGTAAAAATGGTCTGCGGCCTGTGGGTGGTCCGAAGCCCGCCCTCAGCTTGGGGTGGACCCGTCCTGTTTAGGCCTATTTGGGCCTGAGCCTGAGTCTAGCCCGAGACCCTAGGCCTAGACCTAGGCCATCATTTAGAAGCCTGGCTTGGCCCATCGGCTCACTTAAGACTCACTCAAGGTCCGGCCCGTGGCCTGGCCTGCCTGATGCCCAGTATCTTTTTTAATGGAAAATAATAAAATATTTGTTGAAAAAATAAAAAATAAAAACAAAAAAGATTGTTCAAGCCCAAACCCAAGCCCAAGTCCACTGGCCCAGCCAAGGCCCAAATACCCTTGGGTCTGGGCCTAAATTTTAGCTGGAACTCGCGAGACTTGACATGGGCCAGACTAGACCGGGCCAAATTTACACCCCTACACATATCCTTTTTTAAAAGATGCAAGTGGACTCCAGCCATCATTTGGAAAACTGTCCACTTTCTATAACTGCTTCTAACTGCCTTTTTTTTTTTCTTCTTACTGCTGACTTCGTTTCATGTTCTAACATGAAGACACCTGTCCACTTTACAAATCTTCAATTTGGACCACGATCAAAGAACTTGCACCACATTAACACTCTTGTCGAGATTCAAAACTTCATGCTGTGATTCCAACACTTGCTCTAGACATATACCTATTTAACAAGTTATCATCCTGGACCACAACCGTATAAGTTAAGCCACGTTAGCATCTTTGTCGACAGATCAAGTTCAAGATTTTGAGGTAATTTTATTTCCACACACCAAAATATCTCACACCACATCCTCTCTCAATAGACACACCAACTAATTTTGAATTTTGTAATTTTACTCAATGCATAACTTTTTTTGACAAAAATATCCCTCTCTTTAATATTGAAACCCTAAACCAACACCTATTCTCTAGTTAGTGAAGTGTAGTTCTTCAAGCATTCCGACAATGGCCCGGTGAAATTGTTGTCGTTCACCGTCAATTCCTCGAGAGCAAGACCATTGCACAATGCTGCTGGTAGTTCTCCGGAGAAGCCGTTGTCAAAAAATTTCGACAACAAGAGACGGTTCTTCCCAAAGTCTCTAGGGATGCTGCTGGAGAAATTATTGGTGTAGAGAGAGAGAGTGTTTGTAGATTAATAGGGCTAGATAGTGTATGATCGATATAAACCTTAATTGGGCTACAAGAGGAGGATTCAAATTCTCAGATATTTGGTTAATGGCAAATTCTGCTGTGAACCATCTTCATCAATAAACTTCACTTCATCTTCCCTTGTATCGAATGGATCCCTTAGCTACAATATACGACCAGCCTCTGGTTCCTAGGGAGGGTCTAGTGTCGAAATCATCAGTTTAAGGAAGCTTAGCTATAATTTAGAACAACTTCTAGTTGACTCCAGCTGTGATTATAGTGGCACAGAGCTTCTTGTTGAGAACATCCCAATAGGTGTTCACAGATGTATACTGGCTGCTCGGAGTAAATTTTTCCACGAGCTTTAAAGAGGGAAAAGAAGGCCTTTGAGATCAAGAGATTGCCATGAACTCAGATTTCCAAAACTATAATAGTGGCGGCAATAGCGGTAGGCGGTAGCTAGGGTTAGGGTTAAGAAATTAGGGTTTTGGTGGAGAAGATAAGGACACTTTAGTAATTTTATTTTAAGATAAAACTGTAATAAAAAAATAAATCATTAAGTAAGTGTGTGAAAATAAAGATTTTGGTGTCAACAATTTTGAGTAGAGAAATAGACACTTGACAAAAAAAGAGAGTTTCAAGACACCACTAAATATATTCACTTTATATAATAATATAAATAAATGTCAATCTAGTCCCCAACTCAAAAAATGATCTATGATTAATGTGCGTCTTGCCCTATCAATCCGTCCAATTAAATATTTTTTCTTTCATAAACAAAACTAACAATAAATTCACAAATACCCAATTTTTTTTGCATCATTTTTATTTTTGTGAAAAATAATTCTTAAAATTTGAAAATCAACTTTTTGGTGTTTCCTAAGTGAGTTATCTTCAACAAAATAATAATAATAATAAATTCGAAAAGTTTGCAAACATTTTTTTTTTAATTAAAACAAAATGGAAGCACAACCAAACAGGGTATTTGTTTCTCCGGAAATTGGCCCAGTGACAAGTACTTCGTTTCATTTTTTTACTGCAGAAATAGAGGCTGGAAAAGTGCTTCATATTGCAGAAGAGATTACACTTGCAAGTCGAAATTTCATTACATTTGCACAGTAGAAAATGGGACTTGAGAGAGAGAGAGAGAGAGAGAGAGAGAGGCAGAAGAACATATACTATAAAGGATATAATTCTCTTCTATCTACTTCTGGTAGTAATATCTGTTATCCTGTGATTAAATATTAATACAATTCGCGTAAGATAAGGAATACTCTGTTTCACTTTTAAGTACTTAAAAAACATTAAAAAAAGAAGAAGCTATCTCCTCCCTAAAATAACAGTGGGATGAAGCTATGAACATTCTTACTAACAGATACACTGTCCCAACAGAACATAGCTTCTTTCAGCCGAAGAACAGATAAAAAAAAATAGAAAAAATTAAATTAAAAAAAAGAAGAAAAGAAAACAGTTATGTGTCCCGAGGGCCATCAAAAGATTGAGTCTTCCTCAAATTCCAGTGGAGACCCTCATGTATGCTGCGCAAGAAATCACTGGTGGAGTCACCTTGACAAGCAGTTGCCACGGGCCAAGGTGCCATGCTGCACACAAGTGCATCCCCAGGTGCCAACATTTTTCTGTCTTTTCCATCGAAAGATGCCCAAGCATGGCTTCTGCTATTGAAAGGTACTTGAACTCTCAGTGTTATGTGCTCTGGTAATATCAGAGGGCGGAAGGACAAGGAATGTGGGCAAATTGGTGTAAACAGGATGCCAGGAACCTGCAGTTCAATAAATAAATAAATAAAATTATCTTAAACGAGTAAAAATGTATCAAGATAACATTAAGTTGATCTTATTATGAACCTGCAAGCAATATGAATCTACAACATGGAAGAAAATAGGTATATATGATGGGAAGGAACTCCAAAATGTGACTTCCAAACTAACTAGGGTACTACACCCCCCCAAAAAAAAAAAAAAAAAAAAAAAAAAAATGAGTAAGAAAAAGTCCATGAAAATAAAAATTTAAAAACCAAAGAAACAGTTAGTTTGATATACATTTGTGTTTTTTTGGATAATTAGTCATCTCACATGATATCACCTAATCCATACACAGCGTATCCGTGTCTGTTTAATGTAAATCATATTACGCCATAGTTCATATTGTTTTTTGACCACATGATTTAAACAAATCAGTGAAAGATCTCCCAATGTCCTTTATTATTGCGAACTCAACTGCAAGGGACCTGTTAGCAACGGAATGACTGCATCACTTGCCAAAGAATATCTTTCATGTGGTGAACTCAATCTCACTAAACCAACTAGAACATCCTACCAACCCAAAGCCCCAAAATTAGAGACTCCGAAGATTTTGATCTTTAGAAATAGCCAACCTAACTAAAATTAATCTACCATCCTCTAAATGTGTCCCTCTTTTATTTTAACTTCATTTGTCCTAGCACCCATGTTGCAGAGTGTAAAAAGCTCAAGGAAGGCTAAATTCAAAGACGAAATGATATTTGGACATTGGCATGATTTCAAAGAGAAATTAATAAGAATCTTATAATTATGTTTATCATTAGAATCTTATTTTATGATTATTTTTATGTTTTCTAGAATTTTTAGGTTAAGGCTTTTTTAGTAATTTTTTTTGCAAATGATATCGTGTTAGCAAATGAGAATAGAGAAGAAGTTAACACTAAGTTGGAGACTTGGAGAGCAGCACTTGAATCTAAAGGATTTAGGATAAGTAGAACTAAAACAAAGTACATAGAATTTAATTTTAGTAATAGTAACAATTGAAATAGAGAAGTGAAGATTGAGAAACAAAAACTACCTAAGAGTGAAAAATTTTGTTATTTAGCATCGATTATCACAATAGCTAGAAAGATTGGAGCAGATGTGATCCATAGAATTAAGGCAGGATGGCTTAAGTGGAGGAGGGCGTCTAGAGTACTGTGTGATAAACGAGTACCCACTAGATTAAAAAGAAAGTTTTATAGAACGGCTATTAAACCAGTGATGTTGCATGGGATTGTTGGGCAACTAAGAAACAACATATAGATAAGATGAACATTGCTGAGATGAGGATGTGAAGGTGGATGTGTGGCAAGACTAGAAAAGACAGAGTTAGGAATGAGTATATTCGTGAATAGGTAAGAGTAACACCAATAGAAAATAAGCTAAGAGAGAATATATTGAGATGGTTTGGTCATATACAACAGAGACCAATAGAGGTAGTAGAGAAAAGATATGAGACAGTGACGGTAGAGGAAAGTGTTAAGGGAAGCGGAAGACCTAGATTGACGTGGGCTAATGTAGTAAATGGAGATATGAATCTCCTTAATTTGACTAACCAAATGGCCTTGAATAGAGTCGAGTGGAGAAGAAAGATTCATGTAAACCCATTTGATGGGACTTAAGGCTTGGTTTGGTTGGTTGATTGGTTGGCTTTTTTGATAATTTATAGGATTTTCGAATATGAGTTGTGTGGGTCAAGTAATTTAATTAGTCTTTGTTTTGTTTCTTATTTAATCTTAGATTAATTTTGGAAGTCAAAAATATTATAATAGCTGGTTTAGGAAATCTCCTAGTTCTATATAAAGTCCTGTAATGATTATAATTTAATAGAATTGATATTTTTGAGAATTTGAAAAGCTTTGAAGCTATCTTATGGATTATGTGATGCAACCCTGACCCTAGGTGTGATGCCTAGGGTTTCTAAGAGTGATTCCTACACCTATCTTCTTCTCCTCCTCTTTTCCCACTTTTATTTCAGCAGTTTCATAGCCCAAATACTGCTTATGAATCACTGTTCGCAGCCTAAAACAATGCCAAAATCTCACCTTTTCATACCCAAACTCTTACTCCTTTATTACCCTAAACAAACCCTTTAAACCCCTATACGATTATTGCAATTTCAGCCATAAACCCAATTAAAATCAGCCCCAAAAGCACACTGTTGCTGCTGTCCATAATCGTCCTACATCAACTCATCCGACAGACATTTTTCCTTGTTTTGCAAGCGTTCATCAATAGCCTTACAGCAGTCTGATAAAATTTAAAGGAACTTCCCCACTTGCCTCGCTCCACTGTAGTTTACAGATGTTATTTATGATATTCCCTTCCTAGCAGATGAACCAAAGTAACAAAAATGGAATCTCTTGTGCATCTCCTGGACACCAATGTGTACTTTTTACTCTTTTCAAAGCTAGTCTACTACATACTTCACATACAATTTATCTTAACTGCACTAATCCTGAAACTCATAAATCAACAACATTTCCATCATTTTAACCTTTATCCCCATTCTTAGACAGTTAACCAATGGTAGAAATTTTAAGCCTAAGCTGTCGTCAATACATTTTTATGGTGTCAAGTTTGGTTGCATGTCCATTTTGGTAAACTATGTTCAGTTTCCACTTCCTGCTCAATCAATTAATCAAGGGAGGCCACAAGCCAATATAGCAATACTTAGACATATGAGTACTAAATCATTTATCAACCCAAAGAACCCACCAATATATATATATATATATATTAAGGCCTACAACACTTCATGCATGCTTCGGTCCAAACATTAAGGATCTATTTGGCTTTGTTTTCACTATTTGGAAAACACAAAAAACTTGATTGGCAAATTATTTCTGAAAACTATTTTTGAGAAATTTTTTAGAAATATCCACGTTCTAAGAAACACCAAAAAGTGATTTCCGATTTTCAAAAATTATTTTCACATAACGATGAAAACCATATGGAAATGATGGGTGTTTTCAAATTTTGATTGCCTTTGTTTCTAAAAGAAAAAACAAAACCACAACTTACCAAAGGCCTTACCTTTTTGTCACCCACAGGAGTCGAGCATCTATGTCTTGTGGGAGTAAAGAGTCTACGTTACCTCATGACTTCATTCCGCAGAAGTTACACTGTGTGCATCCTCAACCTAGGCCAAGATGCCAAACCTCTAGGCACACACTGTGTGACTCTAGGGACTTGTAGTGAGGCTAGAAATGGAGGAAATTCGCTACAGTGCTCCACCCCACATGATCAAGTTGTCATAGGCCAGACTGAAAGAGAGAAACCTCACCACTAAGCTATACTCTGCAAACTTGCAGAAGATCTTGTTTCCAACCAAGAGACATTTCTAAGTTCTAATGGCTTAATTATATGTTAACAAGCCCAACGAATGCCCTAAGATGTTGTCAGCATTCTCAAACATTCAGTTATAGAGGCTCACGTCTCTTACATCAAACATAACAGTTTCTCACTAGAGATCTAAGCTGCACGGGCACGGACATGGACACAAACACGAATGCAGACACGGACATGGGAATTTCAGGGGAAAAAAAAAAATAGGAACATGAACATGGCGAGGTTACGGCAATAAAAAAAACTATATATTTTTATTTTCTATATAGATTAATATTACATCCATAAATAATCAAAATTAACAAAAACTAACACTAATTCAATATAAAAACAAAAAATAAATAAAAAAACAAAACAAAACCTTACTATTAAGTTAAGTCTTATCGTTAATGTTTTTTTTTTTTTTTTTTTTTTTTTTTTTTTTTTTTTATGGATGATCTATTAATTGTTTAAATAGAAGCATAAAGTAATAAACATTCAACATCAAACATACATCAAAAGAACTAAAGAAGAGGGGAAAAAGAATCTAGGTGGCATGTCCTCTAAAAAAAAATTAGTTAAATAGAAGGACACGCCACTTGTGTGTCCCATGTGTGTCCCCACAATGTCCCTGCTGTGTCCTTGTGTAAAACACCACTTGAGATTGAGGCTTCCATTTTGAACACTAAGCTTTGTACTTTCGTAGAGTTTAAGTTCTATTTCTCCACTACCTCTCTCTCCTCTATTCAGCTGGTTTCCTTTCATCTCTTTCTAGACACCCTTTGAGTCTCCGGTACCTACCTATGATGTGTTTTGCCACTCTATAACAAATTTTTGACACTAAGTACTTCTTTCTTTCTAAACTAGATTGTTGAATAACTTAATATACATTGTTGGGCCCATTTCCTGAGCTTTTGGGACAATTGGTGACTTAACATTATATCAGAGCTCTAGTTGAGAGAGGTCTTGGCTTCAAGTCTCTCTGTTGGCATTTGGTATTTGGTTTATGTTTGGTTTCTTTTTCTTTGTTTGGTTGTATGATGCTTTTTGTTTGGTTTTGTGTTTGCATCTTCACTTGCAAGACGGGGTTGCACATGAGGGAGGGTGTTCAATAGTTTGATATACATTGTTAGGCCCATTCTCTAATAGCTTAAGCTTTTGGGAAAATTGGCGAGTTAACATAGATATCTAGCATCCTATCAGGATGTTAAGGAAGAGTTGATTGGGAGAACCTGTATCTTTGAGATGGTGCAATTGGAAGGAGAGGAACCAACAAAACTTTTTGACAATGAAGTGGTAGCAATTCCTCACCTTAAGATGTCTTTGCTTCGTTCTACACATTTTTAGCTTATACGAAACTTTTGTAGTAATTCTTTAGTTTTGGTCAATTTCATAGGGTTGAATTTTGTTGGAGATCTGTAGGTTTTTGAGTTTCGTAGTTTTTCGAGTTGTAATACATTCAGTGTATGCTTTGCCCCTTTTGCTACTTTTATTGAACATACTTCTCGCCAGAAAAATGATGCCATCAACTTTTCAGTATATAGTTTCAGACCTAAGTCAACCCTCCAACTAGCAATTAACAGATTTACAAACTACAATAATAATAAAAGAATTTGAAAATTTAAATTGTTTTGCGACAGTTACTTAATGATATACAATTTTACCTTATAATATATAGATTTTTTATTTCGAGGAACAATTAACGTTATATTATCAATGTTAAAATATATAATAACAATGTTCATGTACATCTATGATTATTTTATCAGATATACACATATGTATACATACATAAACACATGAATTCCTATATATATAAAGCAAAATCTATTGTGACAGAAGCATAAAATAATCTCCTTTTCATTTATTTATTTATTTATTTATTTTTGCTTTTGATTTTACACAAGATAGGTTTTAAAACCACGTCCACACACATCACAACTTACAACCAGGCCAAGACAGTTGTGATGCCAAAAAGCAGCCATCTAGTGATGACGTGTCTCAGAATGAAATTTTCAAAACCAAGGAAGCACTAAAAGGAAGAAGCCCTTCTTATAGCCATTAACAAGTGTTCTTGAAAGGTGTACAGAAGCTACATTAAGTGGAATATTTATGAATATAAATCAGAGAAGATTTAAAATCTCCCACAATATCAGAGGTTCGACTATGATTTGGTTTATATCAGAATTCAAAGCTGTAAGATAGAATTATCATGATTCATGATAAATGCATGCATCATGCTTGTTCCTCTGCTGGTTCATTCATGTAAGCATGTAATATTTTATTGAGCAAAAAAGAATGTAGAGCATATATGAACATTAAAATCAGCTCCAAAAACTCCACTCAACGACACCCCACTCAGCTTTCAAAATATTAAAGTGAGGACAGGAAACACAGATGCAATTGTTTCCAACTCATTCTAACTTACATATAGATTCCAAAGCCTCTCTATTATTGACAAATGGAAGCACTTTACAAAAGTCAGACTAAAACTGTCCCCCAACAAAATTGTTTCTCAGACAAAGTTGGTATATTGGCTTTATGTACTACAATGGATTAGCCGTTATTTATAATCTGTGGGTATTATAAATTCAAAAAAATACAGATACTATGGTTCAATCCATTGTCAAGATAAACCAACTTCCACTGAATAAGCATGCATACCTAGATATTATCAGTGTATGGACATACCTGTGGATGGACCATTGATCCACCAGCTGCCAAGGAATATGCAGTGCTTCCAGATGTTGTTGACAAGATCAAACCATCCCCTTGAACACAGGTGACAAATGAGTTGTCGCAATAGCATTCCAAATTTGTAAGGAATGATGAAATTCCACGGTCAATCGTCACTTCATTTAAAACTAGTATAGGTTCTTCGGTCTCATATTCATTTTTAGCTGCTTCACGAATAACATGGCACTGCAACCGATGTCTTAATGTGATACTAACGGGACCCCGAAGGATTGAATCAAGAGTTTCTTTGTAATGTTCACTATCTGAATAATGTTAAGGATCACTTTTGGATCAGAGAAAGTAACCTGCAGAAACAAAAGCTAGTATTTCCAGGGTTTAGTTCAAAGTATAATTTGGCTAAATAAATTTATCCCTTTTGGGCAAAGCTTTGCAGCACACAAGTAACTGCAACCAGGCAGCAGGCCCAAGGTTCAATTTTTACCGAATTTAAATCAGACTATGCAGGAAAGAACACCCTTTTAACAAAAATGGAGGATACAAAATGGGGTCATAAAGCCCAAAGAACCTAAAGAAAACGGGACAAGGGGAGGAACTGGCCCTTTGAACATTGATGCTGCCTGCATACAGAAAGGCACATTGTAATTGCTAATGAAGGTTTATGCCAAAAGGAAAAGAAAAAAAACAAGATAATATCACAAAGGGAAGAAAAATAAAAAGAGGCTATCAAATTTGACTAAACAACCAAGAAAATATTCAACTTGAAGGATTAATTTTGCACTTCCATGGTGACTGGTATTTAAGTAGAATAGTACTTTATACACCCATACTTGACTCTGGGATACAATTTTTGAGTGAATAATGGTTCAGGTCAAATCCAAGGGTTTAGTGTAATACCTCATTAACCAAATGGTAGTAGTAGTCGGGTAATGAAAAGTAGTGTTTAGTCGCATACTAAAAGCAATTTCTTACTGTTTATATGTTTCCTAAAAATAAATTTTCCATGAAGGAGAAAGAGAAATTACAGTGGTTTGCCTCTTTCTTTCTTTTTTTCTTATTTCTCTCTAGCTTTGTCATTGGGTAGAAAGTTTTAATAGTATCACATTAAATTGAGCAACACTGCCATGTATATTAACCCAACCAAACTAAGCCTTGTGTCCCACTTAAGTGGGGTAAGCTACATGAATCCTTTTTTGCCATTTTGCTCTATGAAGGGGTATATGCTCTGTTAAATTAAATAGTTTCATATCTATTTTTACAACTACACCCCATGTCAGTTTATGTCCTCCCGCCGCATAACATTTCCATTTATGATGATCAAATCACTCTTCCTAACCATTGCATTTATAGGTCTTCATTGTACATGACCAAAAACATCTTAATTCTAAAATATCTCAAAATCCTACTTTTTCCTTATTGTTAGTAACTGGTGTCCTACTACAACTTAGAATCCTTTTCTAATCAAAGTCATATCAGATGAGGACAAAATTACTTTGTGTGCATTTAAGAGTCAATACATGCTAATATGGTTTAATTGTTAAATTATTTTGCTGAACTTAACAGACAACACTCTACATCATGCATAATACTAAACTGCAAGGAATGCAGGGTTGAATTGAATGTAATATGTATAATATATAATGTCAATTACCAGTTACCTTATCAATGGATAACTACAAAACTATAAGAACATAAAAGAAACAATATTGCACTATAGTTCCTATTTATCAATTTTAATCACTTTTGTAGGCATAACTCATAAGAGTAGTCCCAATAACTGACAGTGTTTCCTACATTGTCTTAAAAGGTACATTTTCACAACCATCAATAAATGCATCTTTAGATGGGAGCCTTCAGCCAATGAAAACTGAAACCCAACATGCACAGCAATATGTTTCTAGAGATTGTTAGTCCCACTAAGAGAATTGACAAATTTTAGTTCCCAATATAGATTAGACTTTATGTTTCTCTTGATACCATGAGTAGCACCAAACCATGGCATACACCAGAGGAAAAGTGTGCCCCCTACTGTGATGAGATACAGGGAGCAATTATTTGAACCCAGGTCTCTTCAAAACAAATAAGCATAATTAAGCCAACAGGAAATAAATAAATAAATAAATAAAAGGTTTAGTTTATAGCAGGAAAGAGTTTAGAGGTTGTTTTGCATAATTCATTGCCATTGCCTGGTGCTTTTATGATTAATTTGCTATACGTGTTCTCTTTAATAAGCGCAAATTATTTGCATGGTTCAAGGCTAGTCCAACAATTATGCTTAATTTATTCATTAAAAATCGATAATAAATCACAATGAATTATTAATACAAAGGGTCTAGTATAGCTTAGGTGGAGGGCAAAGAAGGCCACCTTCCACAGGGGGGCTGAGCAGAAAAGAAAGTACTATTTACACCAACAATAACAATGACGAAATAAATAAATAAACAAACAACTAAAGAGGGAAGTGGCGGCTTTGACCTCCTCGATTGTGGGTCTGGGAAGGAGTGATTTGTAGGTTTTCATGATCTCTTCTATGGCTTCTACGTAAGCTGGTGATGGGTTTGGATTGGGTATTGAAGCCATAGCTGTTGGGTTTGAGAATAGCAGTGTTGCAGAGAATGGAACAACTGGAGAGGAGGAGGAGGAAGAAGAGTTTAGTAGGCCGATCAAGTGGTTGCTGGGAAGAAGAGTTCGTCGCCAATCAGGAGAGGTTGAAGCCCTAAGAGGAGAAGACCGAGGAGGATCGATCCAAGGTCGACGATCTCCGTGGATAAGGATCGACTTTATCGTGAAGAAGTCCAACAACAGAAAGAACCTTATTATGCATCAAAATGGAACAACCAGGCTGTCAGGTCTATGGTCGAGAAACGGCCGGAAATTGGAGGTGATAGTGGGTTAGGTGAAGTGGAGTGTGTGGTGAAGTGGAGGTAGGTGAAGTGGAGTGTGTAGTGGAGTAGGTGAAGGTAAAGATGGGAAATTCTAACACTTTATAAGTCTCAGATTGCGACAGACGAAATTGAACCCCTGGACGGCAAATTTGATCTCAGAGGATTCTGATGAACCCCAGACAATACTCCTACTCAATCCAACTCAACTTGAAACACCATTTAGATATTTTATTTTTTACATTAGTTCTAGCCTGTGGATAGTTAGTCTTATAGCACAATCAAAAGTGAATATAAGAGAAAAAAGGATTGACAATGCTTTTGTGCTCGCATTGACTGATTTTTGACATTGGTTTTCTTTGAGGGTTTCCCTCTCTTGACACAGAAATCAGTCAACTATAAATTGATTTTTAACCAAGAGAAACACTTGACTGACTAAAGATCTGGAAGTTATCTTCAACCTTTGTTAGATTATCTTGTTGCCTTTCTTCTGTTGTTTCTCATGGCAGGAGAGGATATCCTCCTGCCTTCTCCTTATCATTACACCAATAAATTCAATCTCAAATCAAACATCAACAAACAAATAAATAAAATTATTAAAAAGTATAAACTAAATTTCCTTAAGTATCTTATAAACAAATAGCACAAATATACCTGATTCCAAACCTGTGTGATTCTACCGCTAACAAAATTACATGTGACAGTAATAAAATTAGATTGTATTCATCCAAATGAATTAATAATGCTGCAATGTTCTAAAATATACTCAAATCATTTTGAATCAAAACATAATGATCCAACACACATACCCAAAGAACAGTTCCATCCCCACCAAGAGTTACAACAAGGTCAACTTTCTCGTGCAGGAGCAGAACTTCCTTGTCTGTTCATAATGAAAACAGAGATTTTCACGTGGTTACTACTCAAATTTTATTCAATATAATAGAAAATAAACACAAAAGATTCTCATCTAATCACATGATCAATTTCATCATCCACGCCAGTAAAGGTGTAGTAACTTTAGACCTTCAATCAAAAGAAGGGAAGGCATGGAATGGACATGTTGATTTGCTGACCAAACCATCAAGCAAGTTATGAGTCAATAATAAAGCTGCTGAAAACTACTGGACAAAATAACATTATCCTTATTACCCCTATTCATAGATCAATAATACTGGTTATGGTTTTTTTGTATATATCAATTTATCATTTCGACAGCTAGGTTTTATAGCAATACTGAGAAACAACAACTGCATCTACATTTTCAAACAGCAAGTTGTTATTAGTTGTCCATGTTAAGGATTGCTTCCACCTCTAAGAAGCTAATAGACAGACCACATGATTTTCTCTCAACTATATAGTAGAGTGAATGTATGTTTTTAGCTGATATTATAAAATAAAATCTGACTATGGCATGAATAAGTTTCAATAACCATGAGAAGAAATTGAACTCCAATGAGAGTGGTTACATGTCTCGGTGTAAAAAGACACTTCATATGCAATGCCAAAGAAGCAAACTTATTTAAGTTCAAAACGTATGACACAAAAGAGGAGTTTAGGAGTTTAAATTAGCATTAAAAAGCATGAAAACATGATCATAAGTGGTACATGATATAGTATCTTGTTCAAATTTCAATATTCAGAATGTAAAAATGTACCAAAGCTCACCATCTTTCCAGGTTTGTACAAAGTTGTAGTTCATTGAATCTGTTAGAAGCTCTACCCTCACTCGTGGTTCCACAACAATGTTCAGCTCTTTATGATCTTTCAACCATCTGGGAATGAAACAAGAGAATGAGCATCTCATAATATTTGACCCAAGGTTCATCTGATCCGGCCACAAAGGTAAGAAAACCATAAAGAAATCAAAATAATATTGCACTGTAAGCTCCAAACAAATTGTAAGCAGAAGCAAAGGATGACATCTTCCATTCAGGTTGTGTCTAGATTCTAAAAATTGTTAAGGGAAATGAAATTACTTCCCTAGTTTCATAGTGATGGAAAGTGGAGGGTAAAGATCCTCATTTCCCTTATAGGGCACAATCATGCTTGTCACAGACCAGAGAGCCTCGATGGCTTCTCGCAGAGAAGGGGAAAAAAAGAAAAGGAATAGCATGGAAGAGCTATGAACGATGGCTCCCAAACTTCCTAAATGAGAAGAGCGGATAAAAAGGCATACTACTCCTCCGCCTCCAGCATTGCTTTCACTGCCTCTGCAGCCTCAGCCGTTTATTCAATATACACCTACCTTTAACAGCCCACTGATGGAAAAGACAACTGAAAACCAGTGCCACATAGCTACACCACAGTCTGGTATGTCGACTTTAATGGTAGATTTTCCTTTTATTGGTTCTTCACCATTAGAGGAGCGATATGAGCTCAAGCACATACTGCAATAACAGCAGAGACACCGAGACAGAGACTCCTTACTTTTTTAAGATCTGACTATATCGGTTGAGTTTCATGTGTCCAAGAAGAGAGAATGAATGAGTTATTGAGCCACAATTAGCAATGAAAACATGGAGAATTATTTTTCTCATAGTTATGTGATTATTAGATCATTGATTCAAAACAAAATAGTGAATAGAGAGGAAATCTCGATGCTAAAGCCAATCATGTGAAAGCTTCTCTTCTACTTTGCCAACCTAGTCAAAGAATGAAACTTAAAAAAATTTCTGGGTTATGGACAGACCCACCAACAATGAGAAATCCAATTGAAAAGGCCCACATTATGAATTAAAGAGGGCGGAGAAAGCAACTCAGCAGATTTTTTGGCAATTGGGTCGTTGTGCTATGATAGCAAAATCAGATGAGATCAACTCATCAAGAAAGAAAGAAAAGAGGAAAACCATTTCTTGAGAATTGTTCATTTCCTTCTCATTTTCCAACCCTACCAAACAAGAGCATGGAATTTGGATCATCTTATTTCCTTCTCCTTTTCCTGTATTTTCCCTTTCCTTTTACTTTTCCTCAACAAATCCAAGATTCAAATATAGCCTTGGTGTATTGGTTGAACAGGAAGGAAAAAGATTAGAAGAAAGATCATCTCCTGCTTGTTTTTATTTTACCCTTGTATATTAACTCAATCTAAAGGAGGAAATAAGGTTCCTTTCCCTCCTTCCTGATTGCTGCCCATCGTTTGATAAATTTTTCTAGTGGGCCTGCAAGGATTTATCCCCCAACCAGCTTTTCCTATTACATTTACAAAGAGTATCTCCATCCCAACTCTTGAAATACTGGGTCAGATTCAAATGCAAATGAATAGCTTGAGAAAGAATCAGATCTCACATAAGCCAATTCCTCCCACTTCTACCTCCTACCAAACAAGTTGGAAATTATTACATGGTAAAAAGGTTCTATATAGTTGACATGGATATAAATGGTTTTAATCCTAGGACCATTCTACCAAGGCTCAAGTAATGAAAGGTATGATATCAACTGAACAGACATATGACATTACACATAATTCAAGACAATAAAACACAACAAAGATGCAATTTGAACTTGGAAATGGGCCTGAAATTTGAAGGCCAGAATTCAAACTGGGCTGGTTAATTGCATTTCCAGCATTTGGATGGTTTCAAAGATTTAGAGTATCAATTGGCATGATAATCCGCAGCATCACAATATCCTTTAACATGCAAGTTCAAAATCTTGTGGGTCAGGTCAAAAAATACAAAATCCTGTGGTGAAATAACCATTATTTCCTGAACCATTTTGGACCTTACCAGGATAGTTCTCAAACTACAGATATATGAAAACCTAGGGTATCTGGTTATGGGGCAATGGACATAGAATAAAAACTATGTCAGATTAATTGTCCTCTAAAAATTTGTAAAAAGAAAAATGCAGTGCTTTTACATAATGCCAAATCAGATTTGAAGTGAAGGTCTCTGCCAAAATTAATTACAAGTTATTTTAATAACCGAAATGGGGAGATGAGAAGAAAAAAGAGGGAATGGAGTGTCTCTTTTTTTACTTTCCCTTACTGAGTAAATTCTTTCAAACCTTCACCGGAATCTGAGCTACTAACCCAATATCCATATAAATTCTTCTTTTGTAATTATATCATACTACAGAGAAAGCATTCTAGATAACTAATATCCCCAAAGCTCAACCAGCAAGGATATGGACCAAATGGTGGTATATCAAATTCTCAAAAGGAGTACACTCACAAGACCAAACTAGATAAGGCTGCAAACGAACTGAGCTGTTCGCGAGCTTGGCTCAGCTTGGCTCGTTAAGGGCTTGGTTTGGCTTGGTTTGTTAAGTAAATAAATGAGATTGAGCTCAAATAAGCTCGGTTCTTTTATCTTTAATTAAATTATAGAATAAATAACTATGTGAACAATAGTAAAACAATTTAATTATCGAGCTTCGAGCCGAACTCAAGCTTGACTAATATTAACAAGCTCGAGCTCGATTAGTTATCGAGCCAAGCTCAAGCTGGATAATCAAGCCGAGCTTGAGCCCTACAAAGCTCGGCTCGGTTTGTTTGCAACCCTTATACTAGGCTCGGCAAACATATAGCCAACCCATCCCAACTCAAGCTTAAATGAATGGTTTTGATGCAATGAGCGGGCGGATGCAGGTCTAGCAATTCCCAAAGAAGTCGGGTTTTGGTTGGGTGGCGGATATACATAATTCCATCTGCAGAACCCAACCCAACCCCACCGCATGAAATTAGGCTTTCACTTAAAATACTAATATATCTACTTCATATTATTAATATATTATATGTAGAAATTTAATGTATAAAGAGAAAAAGAGAATTGTATTATTGATTGATGTTTGTAATTGTTTACAATGAGTCCTATATATAGAAGATTAAAGGAGGTAGGTATGTAGTAGGTGGAGTAGGTGAAGTGGGTGGAGTAGGTGTAGTGGTAGGTTTTGGTACATTTTAACATTATATTTAATTGTTAAAGTATCGGAAATGATGCTTTTTTCCTTTCCAAAAAAATGGCAAAATAGGCCCAAACATAAGCCCTTGTTTTTTTAACAACCAAAAAAAAAAAAGGGAGAAAGGCCCAAAGAAAGCCAAACCAAAAAGGGAACTAGTTGAGAAAATAAGCCCAAAACCGTAATGCCCAATCCGCCAACCCAATCCACATCCACATGCCAATGCATCTGCTATGTCAATTTTGAAACCATGGGTGGTCGTATGCAGATGGATTTTCTCAACCTGATCCCATTCAGTCAGGTGGTAGATGACATGCAACCAGACCTGACCCCGACCCGTGAGCACCCCTAGAGACCGTACAAACTGGCTTTTCATGAGTATTAAAACCTATCAACTAGGTTTATAATGCACCAAATAAATCTCACCAAAAAAACTGAAGTACAAAAGCCCCTCCCCAATAATAATCCCTAGTTTTTACAGGTATCACGATGCAGCTTAACCGCCACCAACCCCTCAACAATCTGATACCATGTTAGACAACCAACTGACCCAAAAGCTTAAGCTGCTAGGAAATGGCCTAACTGATGTATAGCAAGCTCTAACATAGGACAAAACAATCAACCAACCACCACAGCAATAATGTCAGAGACCTTGCATGGCACAATTGCAAAAGATGTATTCAAAAGTTACTACCCCATTAACAGTGTTTTGAAAATTCAGAAGACACAACTCTAGCATATTAATGAAGCAATTTGTTAAAAATTTTGATTTCAGAACTGCAGAAAGTGAAAATTAAGGAAACATTATTGTCCATACCTGACCATTTCTGCACACAGAATACGAACAGAAGGTGAATTTGGTTTAGTCAAAATAAGCACAGTCTGTGGCTGAGATTCCCACTTCAAAGATATCTGCAATTGAGAATGAGTGTTCAATTAGACACTGCATGAAATGGAGAAATTAAAACCAATAAAAGTCTGAGAATTACATTTTGTATGGAAACAAAGAATTCTAGAGTAGTGCAATATAAACAAAACAGCATACAGCATTGATATGACTCAAATAGCAGCAAAGTAAATTTTATAAAGACAGCAGCAGCTATACCTGCTTACTGCTACGCTCTGCAGCTGTTATATTTCCCTTCTCAAAAGAGACAATGTCATGTTTTCGCTGATCGTTGTTATCACCTTTGCCACACCATGATAATTTAAATGATGCCTGTATCAGAAAGCAAAGTTTTAATAGCATTTCAATCTGGGTATCTAATTACCCAAAACATCCAAAAGATTTTGGTTTTACCAAAAATGGTAAAAAGATGCACAACAAAAGTGCCTTGCAACCCTTTTTTGAGATTCTCTAAGCATACAGTCATGAGAAGGCAAGCAATAGAAACTATATCATGTCAACAACCATAACAAGCTAACCAGAAACTCAATAAGACCAGAGACTTTCCATAAAGTCCATAGCTTGATTAAAAGCAATGTGGTTCAAGGAATATCAAGTAACAGTATTAAAATATACCAATGAAATGAGTAATGGTTTAAAATACAGATAATGGTAAGTGAATGAAATTTCAAAAAGCGCTGCACTATTGTGAGCCTGCTCTGTTATTCAGCAGATGCAAAGGAATGTACCTTTCTCATAAATCTATTCTGAACCACATCCAAACCAGAATCAGGGTCCCCATCCCGTAGAACCTCATGGGAGCAAATTCCGTTCTCCCCACAACACACCTCAGATTGCTCACAGGTTTGATTCAGCAGCACAGGTTGGTCTGCTGAGTTGTCTGCCCTCTCATTGTAAAAATCACCATTACTCACTCCAGATGGCAGCACTGTTAGATAAATCAGAAAATCTCAGGGTATGAAGATAGTTGTTGAAATTTTTAAATAAATAAGAAAAAATTAATTAAATACAAATCGATGCCAAAGTTCCAGGGTAGACCAAAGTTGAATGAAAGAACATAACCATATGTGTCACTCTGTGCTACACTGAAACCTAATTGTGAACGAATTACATCACATAATCATAAAGTTTCAGCTTTGTGGTATATCATATCCATAATTAAGCCAAACAAGGGAAGGGGACAAAGATTAAGAAAGAAAGAATAGTGTTTCATCTGTGATGAATCAAGATGTTTATGTTGTTACATAGATTCCTCTATAGGCAATGATAAGATGCAAATTGAAAGTATGAAGGGAAAGAAACTGGTGGTATAGGAGAGCAGGACAGCACCTGCAAAATCCAAACAAAAACCACAAACCAAATGAATGGACATTAACCTCTAACCATTAACTTTTTTGATAAATCTCTTTTCAATCGATTAGCATCTAACCATTAGTAACATTATCCCACTCATTGTACACATGGCAAAACCAGAAGCTGGACAACCATAAAACCTAGTCAAACAAAATACATATTTTTCTTCTCGACTCTCAAAAAAATCAATCCCAAGGAATTGTTCTGGAATTTTTCTTCCTTCAGCATAATTGCAAGGGCAAGGGAAAAAGGTCCAAATGAAAAATGGAACTTTAAGGAAGTATATTTGAAACCCAGACACTTTACAAGTGTTGAAAACAAACTCGCTTATAAACTGTTAGAGAGGATCAAATTTGAATATATAATACATTCAACATGCATGAATTGTGATTATTAAGTGGACATTGAGATTTGAACACAGGACCTTCCAGCCCTAATACCTTGTCAAAAGCCAACACTGTTAACTCATATAAAAACTTAAGTTGTTAGAGATGATGACCATTTTATATACCCAACAATATGGACAGCAGGAGGGCCCTAAGGCAAAGGCATTAATGTCTAGCAATGGAAAGTCCATTTGAATCATGCAACTAGCATCTTCCATCATCCAACCCACCCGCCTAAGATTTAAATTGAAGAGCAAATGTAGGAGATCATAATGATGAAACCTCTATTCGCTCGAGTTTCTCCCTAACTGTAAATCCGAAGAGAGTAGTCCATTGCTTTAATTCTAGTAAAAGGTCACTGTCCTCTGAATATCTTTAGCAATAGAAAAATATAAACATATCCTTAAAATTGAGAGGCTGATGAAGACACCATCAATCTGTCCAAATCGTGACAATCTGACAAATCATTACTTAAAAAGTTCAAAAGGAAATAATCTCAACTGGGTCACAAGACCTGAAGGATGATAAACCATGCAAGGACACTATAACACAAAATACATCAGCTTTCCTCTTTTATGTCATGGAAACAAGATGATCCATGAAACAACTTCCAATAGACTAGGCAATAGAACAATGTTGGATACACCCCAAAGTTTTATTCACATTTATCTTATATAACATACTAAAGAAATTCTCATGTTTCAACAAAGTAACAATAACATTCCACAAAATTGAACAGATATAAGAAGTTTGTACCTCTATTTAGCTATTAAAATCATGAGAACTTGTGCCTGACCCCAACAACTTAGCTTCTACTGAAATCATTCGTCAACAAATAGATTTATGTTTCACGTTCCTCTTCTCCTTGCAACACCTTCAACTTCAACTTCGACCATTCACGTTGTGTAACTTGCACAGCCATTAATATTTTCTAGGCCAACCTACTGGTTTAGAAAGATGTAGAGAACATATATGTAGGATTGAAGATGAGAAGCATAGCCCAGTTAGGACTAAAGACTTCAGTCTTCATCAGAGAACATGAAGGGTGGTAAGCATGTGGTGGTCGTGGAGCATGGGAGAGGTCATCAGAGATCTCCCACCTTGCGGGGGGCTCCATAATAGTAGTTTTATGGGAGAGTTTAAGATGGGGAAGTAGAATGATGAAGCATTTGAGCCTTCAATTTGTAGAGGTGAACTCTTGTTATTTGCAGAGGAAGGACAGGGTCCGGATTCCAGAGTTTGTGGTGAGGAGTGGTCAGAGGCAGCGATGATACTGCTGGAATTCGACCCAGGTGGTGCTCAGAGAAGGGAGTCTCAACTGAAGACCTTTCTACAGGTAGTGGTGATCCCCACTTGGATTCAGAAGTTGTTAAGAGTCAATTGCAATGAGCAGAAGAGTGATTGTGATGTGGAGGTGACCCTTCCTCCGGCGATGCTGTGATCAAGCTTCTGGGTACGTGTTCATAGGGCAATTGGGGAAGATGGATGCTCCAGAAGCGAAGGTTAAGGTGGTAAAACAGTGGATTGACTGGTTTTGGAATGTTCCAGCAGGAGTGGAAGTCTCTGATGGCCAGTGGCCCTATCAATCTGTTTCTCTTCCCTTCAAAGGAGGCCTAACACATTTTGCAGCAGGACTGGACCTTTGGGTGCAGCCATTGATCCTTGACTGGTGGTCACTTGAGGGTGGCTGTTACATGCCTGGAGCTGGTCCTAGAAAATTTTGACAAATGGTGCAAGGACTTCCGACTCATTTGTGAGATGACAAGAAACATCCTTACTATTCATCCATCAGCGGCAACTCCAGCAACCTTGAGGCAGTTGTTTATCTTTCCTTACTATCCATCCATCTCAACATCCTCACTTTCACGTCATTTTCTTTTAAAGCCATGGTTTTATGACTTCCCTAACATTTCATCCCAAAAGCATGACGAAATTTTGGCCAATTTCAACTTTCCTTTTCTTTTTTTAAGTTTCCATATATATATAAAAGAGAGTAGAGAAGAAGAAACGGGCCACAGCCTTTAACACTCAAACTCTCATGAATCAAAGCTAACTATCACATTCCAAAACTAATCAAAATATAAACTCCTAATAAAAGTCAATTAACTTAGAAAACTAAATCCTAATAGAATGGAGAGCTAATATTAATAAAAAAAAAATCTAACTAAAATAAAACTCTAACTAAATTATAATTTAAAATAATAAATACAAAATCTCAATGTCTGCACATTCCACATCAAGTGCATATATTACAACTATTTTTTGCAACTATTTTTTGCATCTGTCAAATTTAAAGCTTTTCCACCCTTCTATATCTGGTCCTAAGCCCACAAATTAAATTGTTTTGTTTAGGTAGCCACTAAAAGACAGATTTAATTTAACCAAGTTAACATGAATCAAATAAATTTATAACGCTGTGCTAGACCAGGTTTGCAGGCAACAAATGAGTGTAAGTAAACCATATATTCACAAAAGAGAGCAAGGTTTTCAAGGAAATCATGAATGTGGAAATGTATAAACCAGAAATGGAGAGAGTTGGTTGACTTATAACTAATAACTTGTCTATAACAGAAAGGAGAGACAATAATGGTTGAAATTATATTTACAAACTTCTTATGCAAAAGAGGGAAAATGATATGAATGGAACTATACTATGCAGAAACGAAATTGATAGAAGGTAGTCGTTGTTAGTTCAAGGGTTTTCCAAGGAAAGGAAAAAAATTAGTCAAAGCCTCAAAATTAATGTCAAGAAAACATATCAAAGAAAATAAGGAATTTCAGGGCATCACAGAGTTGAAGCAATAGCTGTTCAAAGTCTCTTCAGGCTTCAGGTCTAAAATCAAAATAAGGCCTTTTAGTTTCTTCAGGCTTCAGGTTTAAAATCAAAATAAGGCCTTTTTTACAAGGCCTTTGAAAATTGGGGCCTTCAGTAATAAGAAATCTTTTAGAAATTTTTTGGGTGGGCCTTAGGCAATAGACTAGGTGGCCTAATGGTTGAGCCACCTCTACAAAAGAGTGAAATTTTAAACTTTCCATAGCATGCAATGTAACAGAAGATAAAGATTTAAATAAATTAAGAGAAGAAAAGGCATTTGATCACCTCCAGAGCCACAGCAACCAATTGCCAGATACAGAGCATTTGCTTAAAGTAAAAACAGAGACAGAAACATGTTTACCACGATAGGGTTTCGTATGTATTATAGAAAGAGAATTGGAAAATGAAAAGGTAAACAGATGGGAAACAATATTTACAATAATTAGTAAACAAAGGTCAGCTGGTCAATCATATGACAACCACCAAAACAAAAACCCTTCAAGAATACAGAAAAAACGGCACATCAGAAATATATATGACCCAAAATTAATTAAAAAATAGAAAACTACTTTGTTTCTAGAAAAATATAGCATAGTGTATTTTCACGAAACCCCTAATAATGCCACAAAATAATAACTACAAGACAGAGGAAGGCATAAAATCCTTACTCCTTCAAATGAGATAAATACACTCAAAAACACAGTTACAAAAAACAAAAACTGAAAAACACAGCCCATGTGGCCTAATCAAGCCAAACTGCTAGCCTTCCTGAGAATTTGTGAAATCAATTAGGAGGGAAAATTTGAGTATTATCACTAGCAAAACTAAGAAAAACAATCGAAATCCAATTCACTTCTCTTTAGCATAATTCCAAAGACATTGAGAGAAGTGCAAACACTGCAGAAGTCTAAGACTTTATGCGTTGTTCACTTCAAGATACTCTCACAAACATATTTTAAAAAAGCATGTCCAAATTCTTTTGAAGAAGAGTTTTTTTTAATCCCCATGCAACCCTTGAATAGTTCACCTATATGATCCGACCAAAGCTTCTAGAGAAACATAGATAATTGCAATTCACTACCTACTCATCCACACAGCCAATAGCATAACTAGTTCCATTGTTATTAACTTGCATGTGGTCTATTACACTTCAGAAGCTTTGGAATCCCATCAGCTTTCCACTGATTAGTTTGGAAAAAGCAAAAGAAAACTCGCTTTTTGTGAAAAAGTTAGCAAATTTCCCTAGTAGAGCATCAAGATGACCAATTATTGTTAGTTGGAGCAAGTACCTTCAGATACTCCCCCACTCTGTTCCTTCCAAATATCCCAACAAACAAGACATTGAAGAAATAATCTAATAATTCCCATTGCATTATCTGGAGAAGCTCGAGCCCAACAATTTTGAAGCTTTGCACAAATCTTGTTTCCTGGTATTTGAATACCAACAATCTGATGATAATGAGTCCAAATATAATTAGCTAGCTCTCCGAAAGAAAATAATTGATCCAGGTTTTCACTAATTGAGTTGGTGTAACAACTAAACAACAAGCCGACTGAAAGCTAGACAAGAAAAGATTTTCACACAGAAGGCCCAAAAAAAAAAAAGTTTTCTAAATGTAGCACAAAACTTTTATGAGAACCTCATCATAAAAAGTTTCCCTAAGACTAGGATAACCTCTCCGTTAAAACAGAAAATCTTCAAGCCAACTTTATTAATATTTCCAAAAGGGATTTGATATTTATACCATTTAAGCCTATCACAAGCCTTCATAAAAAATAAAAATAAATAAAAAGAAAAAGAAAAAGAAAGGAGAAGTCATCTGAAAGATAGGAGACAAAAAGGGAAACTAATGAGGCCTTATGCGAAGCAAAATGTTAGTTGTATGCCAACATGTACAACTTCATATATTACATGAAGAGGATGGAGCAAACCAAGAAATATAAATTTGAATGATAAGATCAACTAAAAAGTAAAAGCATAAGTTATGTTTACTGTCTAGAAGGTGATGACAAAATACTGTAGAGAGCATGTCAAGTTAAAATCATGCAGTAAAACCAAGTTCAGGAGGATTTAACAATTGCCAAGTGATGGAACAATTTGGTCAAAGAATGGCTAAAACAAGATGATAAAGATTAATAACATCCAAAATGAAAGTGATACTTCAACTAACCAACTGCCATGGTAGTGACGTAATGAAACTCAAGGGAGAACTATTAAATGAAGACTATAGATGAAATAATAGCATCAGAAAATCATTTTGGCTTTCCTTTCATGGGGAACAACCATGGCAGATATTCTCTTTCTTAAAAAATTTACTAAAAGTTACTAAGAGAACATAATATGCATTCATAATAGCTTAAACTTATGGGTAAGAGTTTTCTTGGCATGATATTAGACCTCTGGTTTGGGGATGTATTGGGTTCAAGTCCCGATGTATGTATTTTTTACATTTATCCACATGCAACCCACTCCATTTTGTTTGTGGATTTTCAGTCTGTAGGTTTCTCCACATGCCAATGATGGTTGTACTGAGGGAGGGTGTAAGATTGATCTAAATAATTGGCGCATTCCCTCACAGATCAAGCTTTTGGGATGAGATTGTCTCCCAGCTACAAAGATAAGAGTCTTGGAATGTGTCCCATATCGCCTGGAGTTGCCCTATCTGTGCTAGTTATAAGGCTTCAGTTTCCCCTTCCTTAATGCTTAGGTTTTAAGGAGAAGTATAGGCTGAGCTTTTCAATTTGGTATCAGAACTTGGTTGGACTCGTGACTGGTGTGTCGTTTGTATGGCTACTGTTTATTGTGGTCTAGGAAGGTGTGTTAGAATGTGTCACACATCGCCTGGAGTTTCCATCTGTGCTGGTTATAAGGCTCTAGTTTCCCTCTCCTTAACACCTGGGTTTTAAGGAGAACTGTGTGCTGGGCTTTTCAATTTGGTATCAGAGCATGGTTGGGCCTATGATTGGTGTGCCGTTTGTTCGGTTATTGTATGTTGTGGTTTGGGAGGATGTGTTGTAATGTATCCCACATCGCCTAGAGTTGCCCCATTTGTGCTGGTTATAAAGTTTCAGTTTCTCTTTTCTTAACACCTAGGTTTTAAGGAGAAGTCTGGGCTGAGCTTTTCAATTTGGTATCAGAGCTTGGTTGGACCTATGACTGGTGTGTTGGGCCTGTGACTAGTGTGTCGTTTGTCTGGCTACTGTATGTTGTGGTCTAGGAGGATATGTTGGAATGTGTCTCACATCACCGGGAGTTGTCCTATCTGTGCTGGTTATAAAGCTCTAGTTTCCTCTCCTTAATACCTTGGTTTTAAGGAGAAGTGTAAGCTAGGCTTTTTCATTTGATATCAGAGCTTAATTAGGCCTATGATTGGTGTGCCATTTGTTTGGCTACTATATGTTGTGGTCTAAGGGGTGTCTTAGAATGCGTCCCACATTGCCTGGAGTTACCCTACTTGTGCTGGTTATAAGGCTCCAGTTCCCCTCTTCTAAATACCTGGGTCTTAAAGTAGTGTGGACAGGGCTTTTCAATTTGATAAGAGTACTTAGAATGATCATGCCAAGAGCATAAAGTCCAAATATTGCTTGCACCCAAAAAAAAAAAAAAATTGGAAAAGAACGAATCATTGTACCAATGCATAGGAAAATTTTGGTTCAATTTTGAAGACGGTTGATGTCAAGAACAATAAAGTCTAACCATTACTGGACTAAACAAAGAGGTCCAACCATTATGGCAATATAGTGGAACCATTTTCTTTAAGTTGAATTTATTGCAAGTTTTTTTAAAAAAAATGAAAAAGTGGGTAGTTATGTCTGGGTTCGTAGGCAAGATTATGAGCCATGTGTCTAAGGAAACAGATGCCCTGGTTCAACTCTCTGGCTTGGGGTGAGCTATATGAGAATTTCCCAAGCTTACCTGTGGCACAAATGTGGACATATGTGCATTCATCCTGGGGACTATTCTCGTCTGCAGATGAGAAAACCCTCATTGCAAAATAAATAAATGGACCAGATAGACCTGAATGACAAGGGAACATTCATGTCCCAACTCTGACCAGTTGGGATAAAGCTTAGACGAACTTGAGTTTAAGTGTGTAAATGTTTAAAACAGCATAATCAGTAAGTTCATATTCGCTATATAGACGCATGAAGGAACAATGTATTAAAACAATGTTTGATCATTAGAACCTTTCTGCTCCAACTGAAGATTTCGTGCCCTCTCCAATTCAAATTTACGTTTCCATTCAGCTGCCTCGGCTTGAGCAGAAGCTTTCCCTTCAGCAGCTCGTCTTAATGCCTTCGCAACAGCTAAAATGATTTGGGAAAATACATACATGTATATAAGCATCAAGAAGGAGACCAAATTCACAGATATAGAAAATAGTAACCATTAAAAATATGAACAGTTACATGGATTCAAAAAATAATCATACTTCTCATTGCCTCGGAGAACTCTATGAGATTATCCTCAATTCCCGGAATAAGTGGTTGCTGAATAATTTCTTGCACTGCCTTCTCAGAATTCAAGATTGATAATGAATCAACAAAACCATTCTCCTGCTGGGAAACACTTGCATTTCCCTGTTTAAAGAAAGCAGATTTTAGGCCACTCAAGCATAGTTGACAAATCAAGAATAGTCATGAATGGAAATCCTTATTTTGCAAATTGTGAATCAAATCGAGAATCATTAAGATTTAATACAAATTATAAAAACTGATGTTACACAATCATATATATGAAAAAGAATGAAATAAATTGTTTTTGACATATGTTATAAAATAGCTTTTATATAGACGTGATTACACCGTCTAATTGGGAAGACATTGCCTTCGTAGCAAGGGTGGCTCCAAATCCCACCAACAATAAAATTATTCAAAAACATAATATAATCTCTCTTGAAATTCAAAAAACGGACCAAGGAACCCTATATAGAGTATAAAAATAAGAAAGAATTAAATGGAATCTTTTATTTTAAAGGGTAATACACTTTAAAAGGTGTCTATGCTTATTGGTCAACAAAAAATTTTAAGAAAAGGTTGTGGACCCATTGGGTCTAACCGACCCAACCCATGCAATATTGAAGCATATAGATTTCACTAAAATAGCATAAGATGATTCATATGTGCAAGTTACTTCAACCTTAACCATCTTTAGAAGATGTATTACAACATTATTTTGAGGAAAAATAACGAAAAAACGTTAAGAACATGTTGAGTTTGATAGGATCTAATTGAATCTTATTTAAAATCCTCTAATCACCATAATAATAACAAATCATGAGTATTGGTTATTTTCATACTAAACACTCTTAGAAGCTATATTATGTTATTTTCACTAAAAACAAGAGGTAAAAAAAAATGTCAAAATCTGTCAGACAATACTTTTAAGAATTGAATGAACCATGAAAAGTGAATCGATTATGAATCATACGATTTATTATAGATTCTATCCCAAAATAGATTCACTCATAGATTCATATCGATTTAGGATAAATCGCAAATTGAATCGTAAATTGAATCGCAAATCATAAGATTCTAATAATAGAGCTCTCAACGAATAAGAATCACAAATTGCTATATATGGATTACTTGCATGGTTGTTAGAATCTTACAATTCAATACAAGTTTCAAGAAAAACAACTCAATTAATGCAATTGAATCTCAAATTGAGGGAATCTTATGATTCAATTGCAATTCACTATGATTCATTACAATTCATTGTGATTCAAGCAATTCAGTTATGTTTGCATAATGCATAAAACAGTGTCATCTTCACAAAATTATTATTAAATTATTATGATATGTGGTTTTATGTGTATATACATATACACGATTTAGTTTACAATTCACTATTTTAACAAAATGATTCACGGTTCATTTCATAATTTGACAACAATGGATACTTATGCAAATAAAGGATATGGGGTACAACTATACATTCTGAACAATGTGTAATAGAAACATAAATCATAGGCACATTTAATGTGATAGTAGGAGCATGTTCTTTGACTTCTTCCATGATAAGTTCATTTCACTACACATAATTTAAATGCTAGGCCATATAAAGTTAGCCATTATCACAGTAGTAATACATACAATAGTATTTTTTAGAGCAATAAAACTACTTTAAACTTCACAGGAGAGGCCATTTGAAATAATATATTTGTAGAATTGATATGTGTGCCACACGCACCCAAAAAAATCCTTGTTTAAAGCAGCATTACAAATGTAAGCAAAACTCACATGGAGAAGATTACTGTGATTTCAAATTTAAAAAGAATGTGACTGTCAAATAGGGAAGGGTTGCCCAAATACCATATGATTTCCATTTTTATCTTTGTTTGTTTGTTTGTATATTGGTTAAACCCTAGAATGTTTTATTTTTGGACTTCATGTAGCATAAGTAAGCAATAAATCATCTGTAAAACTAAAGATGATTCAATTTCTTTATAGCAAAAAATATCTTAAACCAATGAGAATAGATCACACAACTATGGACATCAGTTAATAAATAACTAACATCAGCTGGCATGCCTCTGGTGCAAGAGCATTTCTGGCGCCTGCTCATCAAAAATAAAATAGCTTCACTTGAATTGGAGGACAAATTAGCCCATTTCATTAAACTGACTAAAAGAAAATTACAAGGTTTTGACTTCATTACTACCCCAGTTAACATCATTTAATAGACTCAAAACAGATATTTAATTCAATATTTTAAAACAGTGGCATTGAAAAGGAAACAGAGATGAATTGAAGGATTAATCAAAGACATACAAATGATTAGGTTTTCGTGAGGCAAATCTTCCACCGAGTCATGGGGAATTCTTAATGTATTAAGCTCCTCTTTTTATATTCAGAATACTCCAAGAATTTTACTGGCTTCTTCATACTCATATATTAAATTATGACGATGAATTAGATTTTCAAACCGTAGGTCATTTGAAACTGGCATATGACCACATAAAAACTGTCATTTAATGCAAATTCGATGCCTCGCTTTGTAGTAGCGGGCCTTATGAAATTTAATAATATTATGTTTAGTAAAAGTCTAAATATTTTCAATGGTACAATAATTTTTTACTCAGACATTTAAGTAAAAGTGGGAAGCGTGCAAGAGATGAAACTTGAAAATGGAAATTGTGTGCATGCAACCATGAAGTTGAAGTATGTATGTTCATATATTTCCCAGAAATCGGCATGAGAAAAAGACTGAGTGAACAGTAAATATAACACAGCCTAACTAGATCAGACCACTGATACATAACTGAAAATTTCCATACAAGAAAGAAGATGTGCTTAACTTCGCATATATTTCTAAGAAACCAAACATCATGCAAGATTTAAGAAAAAATGGCAGAACAAATATTACATTGCCCACGAATAACTATTTGATACAACCAAAATAATGTTGCGGCCTTAAGAAGATATAAATGATGATTATATTCATTTCACAGTTGTCTTTGGCTTTTCTACCCTCAGATTGAACTTGTGTTGTGGACTTGTATTTAGTAAGCTACATAATAATACAAGTTGCACGAGAAATCGGATTTGTCAGCTATACCCTGCCCATTTAGCCACAACAAAAGCAATGCCTATACAAAATAGCACTTCAATCCACTTCGAGAACGTGATCAAGACGTTTTTAATGATAACTTTTAAACTGGGTATACATTCAGATGGTATTTCGTAAACATTCGTATGGTAACCTAGAACTCAAGTGTACAAACTGGAAATTTTAAAGTTAAAAATAGCAAGCTTTGATGCACAGCGTATCATGCCACGGTCATGCACTATATATAACACATCAAAATAAAACAACAGGCGGCATCAAACATCACATATGTGACTTCCCACATGGCTGATCGTATTTTTTATTTATTTATTTATTTATTTTCCTTTTTCATCTATTATCAAATAATAAAGTTCTCTTCATTCCACAAATAATTAACAATTTCTTGATCCCAAGTAATCACGATTACGACTGCGTAGAGTCTATTTTAGTATTTCCTTCCATATGTAACTTATGGAGTTGAAGCAAAAGGACACAATTCTTCTGAATTTAGCATAAACAACCAACTTGACAACACTTTGATTCTTCCATGAATGCAGCAAATGTAGTTCTCCATATTATCTACCCAAAATATGTGAATTTGATGCTATACATCAATTAAAATAAACAGAATCAGAAACAAAGCATACGAAGACTACCACTAGTCAAAAACTAAAAAATGGATTTCACCACCAAGAGAGAGATCATCAATTGAGTTTGACAAGAGACAAAACGCATCTGGCAGAGAATGACAGCTTCTAGAAAGATCAATCATTATCCCAATAATTCACAACCCAAAATCAATGAACAATTTCAGGTAGATAAAGAGATTGAAATCCTAATTCACAAAAAACACATAAAGTAGAAGAACAAATCCCCTGATCTTCATGCAATTAAACTTCATAAATTAGAGAGAGAGAGAGAGAGAGAGAGAGAGTTCATACATTAGAGTCGAGCTTGCTTGGAGCCATGGCTCTGATATAGAGAGAGAGAGAGAGAGATCACCGAATCCCCCTCACAACGGTGCTAGAAATTGTGCAGCTGACACAAAGACATCAGTTGGTATAGATATAGAGAGGGGGAGCAAGAAAATGGGGATGAGATTCTAGAGAGAGAGAGAGAGAGAGGGGGCGGGGGCCACACTAACCTCATCACTAACATATGCATCGCCAATATTAAAGCAATATTCCATTTTTTGATGAGTTTTATAAATTTTATTAATTTAAAATATGTCTTAAATTTATCTTAAGATTATTGAATAAATTTTGTGTATTATACCATATAGTCTTTGTAGTGTTTGTCCCCTTCATTTAAGATTATTGAATAAATTTTGTGTATTATACCATATAGTCTTTGTAGTGTGTGTCCCCTTCATTTATTAGAACTAATTCACATTTTTCATATTGATCTTTTAAAAATAAATTCTTTATTGTCTAAAATAAGAACCCTACTAGAATTTAATTTACAAACATTCAATAAACTTTGGTTTGGTTTCCAAAACAAACAATATATATATGGTTTTTTTAAATGAAAAATTAATTAAGAGAGAGAGAGAGAGAGAGAGAGTTCATACATTAGAGTCGAGCTTGCTTGGAGCCATGGCTCTGATGTAGAGAGAGAGAGAGAGAGATCACCGAATCCCCCTCACAACGGTGCTAGAAATTGTGCAGCTGACACAAAGACATCAGTTGGTATAGATATAGAGAGGGGGAGCAAGAAAATGGGGATGAGATTCTAGAGAGAGAGAGAGAGAGAGGGGGCGGGGGCCACACTAACCTCATCACTAACATATGCATCACCAATATTAAAGCAATATTCCATTTTTTGATGAGTTTTATAAATTTGATTAATTTAAAATATGTCTTAAATTCATCTTAAGATTATTGAATAAATTTTGTGTATTATACCATATAGTCTTTGTAGTGTGTGTCCCTTCATTTATTAGAACTAATTCATATTTTTCATATTGATCTTTTAAAAATAAATTTTTTTTAATTTTTTATTGTCTAAAATAAGAACCCTACTAAAATTTAATGAAAAATTAATTAATTTGATGAAAATAAATTATAAAAAACTATTTATCTCCTAAAAAGGGAAAAAAATATAACAACAATGAACATTTTTTATGTTTTCAATTTTTTATCAAATTAGTTTTTATATATATATTTTGAGTAATGTTAGGTATCATAAAAAATTTCATGAAAATTCGCTACTCTTGAATTAAACACACAATAAAACACCACACACTAATCAAATGATGAAATTTTTTATGAAACATTTCATTATCTTTCTTTCATGATACTTAACATTACTTATATACTTTTTAAAAAATTTTAAAATGAAACCATACCATGTTAAGATAATAATTATATTAATTTGTAACTTAGTGAATTATACATTTTTGGTGTTAGGATTACTGAATCATATTTTTAAGTACATTGTATCATAATTTAAAACACATCACCATGTGATTTTTGTTATGATAATAATTATATGAAATTGTAATTTATCACAGTTTTTTTTTTTTTTTTGTTAGTTTGAATCTTTAGAGTTACGATAGAATATAATTAACATTAAATACATTATATTTTAATTTAAATAAAGAGTTTTGTTAATAAATATTTTTAAAAAGTTAGCTAATATAATTTAATATAGTTACACAATTTCTATATAAAAAAAAATAACAAATACTAGGGTAAATTACAAAGGAGAATTTACAATCCAGTGGGTGTTCCACAAAATAATTACACATATATGAAAAAAATTGTAATTTTAATAATTATAAAGTTTGTCATTTATCTGTATTATTTTAAAAAAATTATACTAAATACTAATTTCTCCAATTATAAATACACCGTTTGCTTTAAATATGAATTATCCCTATAGTTTGAAAAATAACATCACATCCCTTCAAGTCTTTAATTGCATAACAAATAACTCATTTTATTGTTGAATAGTAAAATAGTTAGAAATTTCTTGTTTTTTTTTTTTGTGGTAAATTTCATTAAATAAAAAGTTACAACATTGAAGTATTTGTAATTTATAAAATTACAAGATACAATTCATATTTTAAATAAAGTTCTTAAAAAAAAACTAAATAAGTAACAAAATTAACTTGAAATACATATTAAAAAAAAAAAAAAACACTAAAGCAGTGCTTACAACATTTTCAGCCCATATGGCATTTGGAAAGGAAAAAATATTAGTTAATCCTAAGATATTACGTGATTAGATTTTAGATTACGTGATTAGATTTTAGATAAATCATAAATTTTTATATTTTTTTATATTTTTTAATCGCATAATATAAAATTATGATCATATTCATTCCACTATTTACAGGTCCGTTTGGAAATATGGTTTGTGGTTAAAATAGTCACAAAAAATAAAAAAAAAAGTTATTTTAGCCACAACAAACAAAACATCACATCCAATTCATAATCATTATACTCTTCTCTCATAAAAAAAATCAAAAAACCAAAAAATTCTTCCCAAATCAAATTTTTAATCCAGACTAAAATAATTTAAAAAATTAAAAAGTCAACCCACTTTCCAAACCAACACTCTACATATATATATATATATATATATACTAGCGGTTGGGCACACACGATGTGTGTGCAAATTAAATAAAGAGGAATAAAAGAAAATAATAATGAAATTAATATTATAATGTGTACTTAGCTTAAGTGGTATGAGTCTTCATACTTAAACCCATGGTCATGGGTTCAAGCCTTGTCCATCTTAGATAGAAGATACGTGAAGTGCCAAGTGCGGCTGTACCCAAACCAACCAATAACATCTCCTTGCAAAGTCAACTCTGCATATAATACAAATTCTTGTCTATGTTAAAAATAGGGTGCGGTGCGGACTACGGTACTTCTTTAGAAGTTATTTGGTACGCCAGGTAACTGGGCACGTCGTGTTGGGTGGTTGGGATTTGTCTTTTTATGACTTTTTAGTTGACTTTTCTTTTAATAGAAAATTTTAATTCTTTTTTAGACTAGTAAGTTTTTTTTACTGGACAAACCGAAAATTTTAAGTTTTTTAAAAAACTTTAAAAAATTCAAAGAATAAAAAATAAGCTATGTTTTTTGTAAATATTTTTAAAATATTCAAAAAAAAATTACTTTTAAAATTCTTGTACACAAGGCTAATCAAAAGGTAAAGAATTTTGATATAATTTATAAATATATATATATATTGTGGGGACATATTTTTTGAATACCAACACGTGGCATGGTGACGCCGACGTGTCAGCCGAGGTGCCACGTGCCCTGGTAGTTAAGCCGAGGTAATCTCGGAGAAGCCGAGGTAATCCCGGAGAAGCCGAGGTCATCTCCGAAGATGTCGGAATCCGAAGATAAGGGACAAGAGTCCTAAGGCAAAGAGGGGACTTAGTTAAGATAAGGATAAAAGCTCTTAGGGAGTTTATCTCTATCTCTTAAAGAGTCCAGAGTAAGCACTAAGATTGGAGTTCATAGAAGTCGTACTTCTAGTTGGACTTGGATTGAGTATATTATAAAAGAGAGGCACCCCCGTGGGTCTAAGGTATGCAATTTATACTTTGAGTATTCAATTTAGTACTTGATTATCTTTGAGAGATATACTGACTTGATCGTCGGAGTGCCCCCGGGTGGAAGAACCACCGCCGGAGCTTTTCTTTTCTGTTACAGGTTGCTGGAGCCATCTATTCTGCCGGTGCTTAGCTGCTGATCACTAAACGGGCAGTGTGGTCAGATTTTTACCCACACATATATATATATATAAAACTTATTTGAAAGATCTCAATTAAAAATAGCAAGGGACATGACAATTAATGATTAAGTGGAGATAGGAACGCATGGTGTCGTAGAGCATTTAATAATTTTCTATAAATTATTGGTTTGCCAGTGGTGTTATGATTGATAAAAGAAGTGAAATTCATAATTTTGTATTGAATAATTAAAAAATATAAAAATTATAATAGTTTATGATTTGTGAGAAATATCTTCACATGTCTTAATGTCTACGAGCACATGTTATTGTTTGGCAATTCAATATTTTAAAAGTTAAAAATTCACTAAAAAAATTAAAAAAATTAATAATTTATACCAAAAAGGTAAAAAAAAAATCTGTATTTTTTACATATTTTTTTTAAAAAAAAATTATACTAAATATATTAATTTTTTATATTATATTTTAATTAAAAAGTCATTAAAATAACATAATCTAAACGAGGGTTAAATAATAATTTTTCGTTCTTGGCCTGCCTACGTCACGCGTGACCCGCGAGTCACAATCTGAAACAGAAACACGTAGTCATGGTCAGTCCCCAGAAGGATTTGGGCCAGACAGTCAAACATGGAGGCAGTACACGTGTCGGTCAATCATTGACAAAGTCGCTTAGCGTCTTCAAACACAGGACATGATCGATTGGGGAAATTATAGGTTATGTTAACTGAATTTTTTAAATATGATTTGAGAATAGAATTATATTTTAAATTTGTGAGTTTTTGAATTATAATTTGAGTGTAAAAAATTTATTTGGTAAATGAGTTTTGAAAAAAAATTTAAATTGAGTAGGAATTTTTGATGCGACATATAATATTTGATATAAAAAATTACAACTCATAGCTAAACATATAATTCAAAATTCTATTCGAAACTCATAAAAAAAAATTTTAAAAATTTAGATTTTTTTAACTTAAAATATAAAAAATAACAGGTGTTATTTGTTAAAAAAAATATACTGTTCTGATCAATCAGCCGAATGTCCAGAGGATGACTAGTTAGGCCAAGTTTGGAAAGACTAAATAAGTATACTTTTTGACTTTTTTTGTATTATGTGTAGAAAAAATAGAGAGGAGATGTTAATTGATGTGACTCAAAAAAGATAAAAAGATGAAATAAGTGCACTTTTTTAAGTTAGCCAAACTTAACCTTAGTCTAAATTTTTTCACATTACAAAGAATTTTTAAAAATAAATATAAAATTAATTTTTAAAAACACTAAATAAATACCACACTAAAAAATAAATATAAAATTATATTTTAAAAGTTCCACTGAACACAGCCATGTAGGAAGGCAAGACAAGTTGCTCTCCAACTATTTATTAATTAAAATA